GAAAGCAATATTGCCCGATATAGCTGAATCTTCTGGCACAAAAATAAAAGAGGATATTTTAAATGGAAAACAGCCACGACATCTCAGGTTAAATGACTTTGTGGGCTCACAAATGAGCTTGCTTTGGGATAAGCAGTTAGAGCGGTTTTATGCATAGGTGGTAATATCAAATTACTTATTTTTTGGTGGTTTTAACAAATAGTCAAGTAAACCAAATACCAAAAGGGTAATGTGCAAAAAACCATACATGTTAAGAGCATACTTGGAAAAGTTTGGACCAAGTTTGCATATCTTTTTTGTGCGAGATTTTTTATAAGAAAACCTACTCTTCAGCGTAACAAAAAATTCAATTGTTTACTTTCTCTAAACCGCAAAAAATGTCCTACCTTTTAGAGAAAAATAGGTGAAAGTTAATAGATTATGCAAAGAAAATGGGAATTTTAGGGAAAATAATTAGGTACGAAATGTCGTATGTATATGGGTAAAAATAAGCTATTATTGGAGATTTTTGCCATACTAAAACTAACTTAGAGAGGAGTTTACAACTATGGGTAAATGGACCAACCGAGACAAATAAAACTTACTCTCAGAATCGTTATGCAAAATAGCCAAAATCAGCCATGCTGGATTACTTTTTAGTAATTTCTGTTTACATGAAAGTACATATATGTGTGAGAACGGAGAGGAAAATATTATAAATTTTAACGCAGTTGGAATCCCAAGTAAATAAACAATTTTCTATCAGTGCTAATTTTAACTTCAAAATACAAAAAATAATTTAGTGCCAAAAGAAATACTTGTGTTGTTAAGTTTTACAGGTGATCTACTTGTAAATTCTCCGATGCTTAAGTAACCAAGTTCTGGTATTAAATATAGAAAATTAAAAACTTTTTTAAATGAAGGATTGACAAGTAAAAAAACATAGTACCATACTAAAAACATAATTGCTAATCTAATTTCATCCAATTAATGAGGTAGTCCCTATGTTTATATCACGTTCAGATATTCCAGAATTCGTATTTTCATCTATTAAGGAGGATGATCCTTATAGGGCATCTAAGCTCCTTCAAATAGAACACTGGTGCTATGCGCATTGGGATTTAGTTACGGAAATAGGTGAGAAATGGTACAATTTTATCGCACAAGTATTGTCTAGTGAAGATTGTTGGGAGGAAGTTAATAATTTACATGGAGTGAGGCTAAATAGACAAATGGTAGGTAAAAAGCTTATTACAGTACCAGATTCAGATAATCCCTTTAGTAGAAATAGAATAAAGAGATATACGATTGCATGTGAGTGTTGCTTGAGTAGGTCCTATATCGAAGTTTTGGTCACATTTCATTAGCGGGTATCTCGATAAGTTGGATTTAAGAGGCCGTCATCCATATGAGTATGCGCTTGACTGTGCAATAGATTGGAAAAAAGTAGAAGCAGTGGAGTTCTTTTGGAACAAGATAAAATCATTACCTGAAAATGAAATGAGTGCAAAAAAGAAAGATGAGATCTTGATGAAAAATGCGGCGTGGTCAGCAGGACCTCGTTTCTCCCTTTACCCTGACATATTCGAATTTTTCCTTGATAAGCTAGAGCTTGAAAGATATCCAGAATTTTTAAAAAGAGATTTAGAGAAGAATGGTCATTATGGATCTTTAAACAGCATGAAGAATATGCGTAGCTTTGATAAATTTCAGAGATTGTTTGATTGTTTAAGCCCAAGTGACCTTTCACAAGATAGTTATCATGCCCGCTTGTGTTCTCTAAAAATACAAGAGTATTCAGGATGTTATTTAGATACAGCTAAAAAGCTTTTTCTCCATATATGGACAAAAGAAGGGTTTGACAGTCATCGTGCTTTTGTAATAAGTGAGGAAGTAATGGATTCATCTCCTTGTTTTCATACAAATCTATTAGTACCTTGGGTGAAGAAGGGTATTATGGAACCGGTATGGGCAGTGCTAGATAAGATGGACTCTAATCAAATAAAAGAATTCATGACTTACAAACAAGCAGATTACATACGTTCTGTCTTAGAGCAAGGAGATAACGCTTCATTAAGTAAGTTTTTATCTTATAGTGGTTCTGTTGATGTAGATCTTGACCAAAAGAGTATACCTGGTCCAAGTGATGATTTATTTGATGTAAAGCTTAACAAAATGCATGACAAATCTCATATAAGGTTAGGTGAATAAAAAGTTATTATATAATTTAGGGGGCTATATGTTAAGTCAAGAAAAACCACAAGATTTTGAATTAATAGAGCTGTTAATTCGAGAGGCAGCGGGAGTTAGTCAACCTGGCCTAAGTACTTCAACTCAACAAAAAAGTGATTTTGAATCTTTCAAAGCAAGGTTTCAATCATATATAGATCAGATTCCATCATATTTACATTCAGTAGGTAAAGAAGGATTTTTTCCTCATTTCTTTTTAGGAAGTTTTTCTACTTTCATAGACACAGAAATTGTAACAAAGCTAGATATTGAAAAAGTATATTTCTGTTTTGATGGTCCACAAACTTTAAAGGTGGCTATTATAAGGAAAGGTGACATAAAAGGTAAAAAAGATGCGATAGATAAGATAAGGTTATTTGTAATCTCAGAGAAAGGTGCCCCTTCTGCAACTCAAAAGTTCAGTTATGGTGAATTGAGGGATGCATTAGGAAGATCTCAGCCTGCACGATTTCAACCTGTTTTTGACAATCGGGGCGAATTAAGAGTTAAATCAGTAACAATTGATAAAGGTAATGTTAATCAACAAGGAGTACTTGTTGCCGTGGAAGATAAAAAATTGCATGAAGATGATGCTTTAAAAGATAAGTTTCAAGAAATAAAACGCGGATTATGGCAGAATCCAGAAAGTAACATAGCAAAACTTACCGGTTCTGACGCAGAGGAAGTTAGTAAACCTTTAGAGAAGATTCTTAAAAAAGTTAGTGGAATCCACTCCGAATATAAGAATTCGCTTACTTATGCTGATAAAGCGAGGGAAGCAGCACATCATGGTTTTATAGCAGGATCTTTAGTAAATTTCCGCTATAGATATAATCTTAGGGTGTACTTGGAGCAATTTGCAGGAAGAGGTTATGCTGATATTGTTCTAGTGCCTCGTGGTAAGGATCGGTCATTGAATGCTATTCCTATTATTATAGAACTGAAAGCTGCTACTAAAAATGAGCTGGAACA